TTCTCTCCGTCTCTTTTCTCTTTATCTTCGCCTCCTGTCTCTGTTGTTATCAGTCTGTCTCGTCTGTTTTGGTCTTTCTCTCTCCATCACTGTCCCACTAACTTATTCGCTTCTTTTCCTTCTTTCTCACTTCCATCTCTGTTTATTTAAATCACTCTCCACGTCTGTCTTCTTGCACTGACAATGACGACGGGATAAAAATACACACACACACACACACAGAGGCAATGTGTGGATTCAAAAGAAGACTTCAACATTTTTTTTTTTTTGGAGGCACACTTATTCACAATGAAATGCAAAATACTTTCCCAGAGATTTAATCCTGCATGCTTGTGTGTAGCCTCCTCCTGGCACGTGCCAAATGTAGTTTGTAATTTCAATGTAGAATTTTAAAATTTCTCTCCGTCTGAAGCACATTAAAAAAACATATTTCTGTTGACACGTTTTGAATATGAAGGTGTGTTGCATAAATCTGTCCAGTGCAACCCAATTCAATCATCGGGAAGCACACGCGTGCCCATAAATTTCAGCTCCTCCACAACAAGCCGCGCTAACAAAATGAAAAAGCACCTGCACGCCGCTATCTTCCTGGTTCTTTTGAATTCTGCATGGACTTGACAACGTGTCACCCGCGCTTAGTGGCCCGAGGTGCGGCGGAAACGTTGCCAAGTCCGTGAAACAACTGGCCGTCGTACCAGTCGGCAGTTAGCTCGTGGGCTGTAGCAGCTAGCAGAGCAATGTTGTATCAGGGTGTGTGTTGGGCAAAACTTTAAGGTACTCTAAATCTGGCCAACAATGTCAAAAAATATGCCTCTGATGCTAACTCAGAAAACGATAAATGTGTGGTTGTAGGTGGGGTTATGCACAGGACGTCCGTCCATCCATCCATCCATCCATCCATCCATCCATCCATCCATCCATCCATCCATCCATTATCTACACACCAGTCTATCGCAGGGCTGTGCACAGGAAGTATCTGTTATTATTATTATTGTTAACATAATTATTTGCAGGACTGTGGTAGCATATGAAACTCTTATCAACAGAAGAGCAGTAACCAATGGGGCGGAAAAAAGAAGCCAACACGGAAGTACCAAAAACTGCAGTTCCTTGAACGTCCACTTGAGGCTGCCTCCAAAAAGCGAGTCAATCCCCATAGACCCTCATGTGTTAAAATGCCCAGCGTTACAGAGGAAATAAACATCTTTACAGCCTGGTACAAAGAATAGGTTTGGTCTCTATAGCTTATTTCATCATTCAAGACAACTGTACAGGGAATGGATTTTTACACAACTCACCTACTGAAATTATATTAAGGTTTAAAATTCTGCCTAATTAAGGGTTGGGTTGGTTGTTAAAGGACAATCTTGTTGTTTGGTCAGGAGGCAGAAGATGAAGGAGAAATGTAGAAGTAAGAGATTTTACCTACAAACTCATGCTTTCTATTACAGAAAGTCATTGCTCAGCTGCTCAGATGTGGTTTTATAGGACAGGCAGGGCCAGCTTGTTGCCCTAAATTACAAAAATAGACGTATACAACCCTGAAGCCTAATATCAGACTTTAAAATATTTAGATTTATTAACGCAATACTGTATAAGAAGGAAAAAATGATATATATTGATTTAAAATAGTGATTAACACAGGATCTTAATGTCACAGTGTCTTTAGGGAGGGATGGACGCTCTGTGATTCAGCAGGATAGAAAAATAAAAATGTATTTTTCAGCCAGAAAAGTGAGACACTGACAAAGAAGTTAAAAAAAATAATAATTGTACACATCCAGTTTATCCTGTCGTTTCATCCTTATGCTAATAGTAATCATATATGAGCCCTATGATTAGGGAAGCCACTTGTGCTACAATTCTGAATGCATACTAACTATCTGTAATTAACAGGTCTACTTTCAGCATCATTATAATAACTAAAAGCACCATAAATGACCTGCCATCATTTATAATTACAATATCTGCCATCGCGGTAATTATACAATCAGAAGGCCAGTTAAAAGAGGATGAGAGGAATCGGTATCTTTTCATTAACAGAAAATATCTCTCGGACTCTTTGATGAGCGCTGATATCCGTCTGCACAGTGGGGGAGGGGGCAGCGGCGCGACCCCCACTGACTGCTTTGAACTCATCTCTGGCATCATTAGTGCATGATGACAGTGATTAGAGCAGAAAGGGCCACCATGCCAATTTTCATGCTGAAAAACAAGACAAGAAGAGCAGGACAACTGCACGGCTCATATGCAAAGTGCCCCAGAGTGACAATCCCAACCTCTTTAGTCAGTGGACACTGAGTGAACATGCTGCTGCACCCTCCCGACTCTCTCTGAATAAACAACAGCAGGAGGAATCGCTGCTCCAAGGTCTGCAAACATCACACAAGTGATGGAGCGGCGATGGCATTTCAAAGTTTGAGAGGGGAGGTTTTTTTTAGCTGCAAAAATGAGCGTGCAGAGCCTGGAGTGACTGACTGACTGAAGTGTGTTTAACTGTAATAAACTGATGAAACGATGAGTTAAAGTGGCGTTTAAGTGACGTATTATAAAACCTACTGTTTAAAAAATACGATAACATCACATTTATTTAACGTCTTTAAATAATTAGTGAACAATTAAATATATAAAGGCTTTGGATTTCTTCTTTATGTGCCTCCTTGATCACATTTCATTTCTGTGTTTGACATTTGTGATCACTTTAAGCCGTCCTGGAGCTTTTGCATGATCTTCATCCCAAGATGGCGTTAACACAGTGTTCAAAGCAAATGAAATAAACGTTAAGTTAAACTACAATTCCACGATAACTGCTCCATCTGCTGAGGAAGACCATGTAATCTGAGTGAAAGCTCCAGAACGGCTGCCAACTGGACCTGCTGTGTCCAAGGTCAAACACTTTCTTATGCGTCCTGTTAATTACAGTTACATTAAATCAATGATTCTCAACAGTTTTTGTTCTAAATAAGTAAATGCAGCCTATTAATTATGATTAAATGCTGTAAAATGTAGGCTGGGCTGTCATTATTGCTTTAAAGAGCTGCTCTGTGCAACAAATCAAACAAAGCAACCTTGTTTTTTTTGGTGACTGCGCCTTTTGTGACACTGCTCAGCAGGTCTGGGAATCACAATCAATGTGAACAAAAACATTACAGCTCAGTCTTTTCAGTGGGCACAGTCAGTGTGTGAACTACCGGGGAGTCGAGGGGGAGCCCAGCTTCTTCCAATAAGACATACGCGCCACTTAAAAAGAAGGCTGTTTCTGCCATCCATTTGTGTTTTTCTGCATCTTCGCCGCCATGGATCACACGTTAAATTAATCAAATACTAATCAGAGTAATACAGCATCCATACTTGTCTCGCAAGCATATAAAAAACTTCCCTCACTTTAATTTTCTTGTTGAGAATTGATGGAAAATAAGACAGAATGAAACTAAACCTCCATTGTTTTAAAATCTGTTTTCTAACGGTGGTCACGATTAATACTAGCATATAAAAGATAAATCAAAATCTGTTGTTCCTGAACACAAAAAGTGAATAAAGTACGACCCCCTGGAAGGTCCAGTGGCGTTTGTACACTGGGTATCCGTAGTAATGGTGTGAACAAGTCCATAGATGTGCTATACAGTAAAGGCCACATGCATTGCTTGGCCCCGCCCACGATGACTGTGATTGGTTTAAAACGAGCCAGAATGTTTTTTCCTCCAATAGCAGATTGATAACGAATGCAGCCAGACCTTCATGTTCCACCACCAAGACTGTAACAAATGCTTTTCCTACATGACTTATTAGTGATATTTAGCTTATTTCTTAACAAGACATAATCGGCTATTTTTGGCAAATTGGGACACAAGTGATTCTGGTCTTTGTGCAAACAGGAAGTGTCACAGAAGATTTTTTTTTTCCATTAAGCACATTGGTGAGAACGTCAGAATGGATATTTTAGGTGAACTGAATCAACCAAACTGTCCTAAAAGCAGTCATTGCAGCCATCCTTACACAGCGATGCTGTTCAGTTCCTCTGTCAGGAAAAAAACCCAAATCTATGACTTGATCTACACTTCAGCGAGCTGCTGTCCCTACAAGACTCAGTTCCTGAGGGTGACGGACAGTTCAAGAGGCGGACCCTTTATACCGTAAGACTCGAGCTTTGACATCCTAAACCTTTTACAACTCCGGCATGAACACTTAGGTGGAAGGCAGCATTTTAACTCGTCCTCGGCTGTCTGAGCGCCCCTCTATGACCTGAGAATCACTGTAGAGTAAGAATTTGTGCAGCTTATTGACACCCAGCACCTTTAAACATACAGATTCATGGATGGATACTGTCCTAAGTGACTTTGAGTGTCTATATAAATCTGATCAATTATTCTTTACACACCTGATGAGCCGTTCAGTAGCAGCAGAAGCCTGAATCTCTGAAGACTGTTTGATTGAGGCTGCACATGAACCAACTGGTTTATATCAGTCAACCTGCTGATACCTGAGGGTTCTTTGGTGCCTCCAGAGTCAAGGCACTGACTTCTACCTGCAAGAACAATCCTGGAGCATTTTTGCACGTCCCTTATCTTTCTTCCCATTTTCACCTACTGGGAAATATCTAACCAGTGCATACATACGTTTCTACTTGCCTGTTGTTTATGGTACTAAAATAAACTATTCACCAAGCAGGTGTTGACCCTTGACCTCTATGAAGTCCCAAATGTTTGCTTCCACCTGCCTGACAACATGAAAGCTTTTAGTAGTATTACTGGTAAGAATCATGCCAGTTTCACCAAAACCACTGTTTTCCCACGATTCAAAATTCAACTAAAACAGGTTTTTTTTTTTCTCTCTCTAATAAACAAGCACTTTGTGACGATTTAACAACAACCGGTTGTAAATGTCATATCAGTTGAGTTTTATGTAATGTACGTGAGTGGATGAATCACCGGCGCACCGACGGAGGAAAAGCCAGCTGATGTGCAATAATTGAATAAAAAGGACTTGCGCTGGGAGCTCACCTGTTGTTCGGCCTCTTCCTCATCGCTGCTGATCTTCAGGTCATCCTCCAGCATTCTGCACAGAGACAAAGGGACACGCGTTATTGCAGCCGTGACCTGCTGTCTGCTTGCATTAGGTCGGATACGGCAAGTCGTGATCTGCAATTCCCTTTGAAGAACCATCCTGGTGAACGGATTAATTACGCGCAGCCAAAGTGGAGCTGGTGGTTCACGTTGAGGGGGGGGAAGAGGAAGCAGACATTCACCACTAAAAAAACCCACCAGATGTTCCAGCTTTTCGGGCTCGAAAAAGAAAAGCCAGATTGTTTTTTCACCTGGAAACTTTCTGTCTGACAACCGCTGACCTACAGCCAAGAATTCCTTGGAAACAAGGAGGACGTGCATGGCTGAGATCGGTCCTTCATCTGGGTTTGCACACTGATGTTTAAAGAGGCTTCTAATTGGAAAAAGAACCGAGTCGTTGCCCCGTTTCTTCGGCTTGTTCTGCTCGTTTTACTCCCCCCCATGTTGGGGATCAAATTCCAGCAATATAGATATGTGCACGCTATGAAAAAGATATACAAGGCAGAGTCGATAACATGACCTCCCTCATAGAATCACCTGCTCCTTACCACACAAATTATTCAGTATTTATGTGCTGTGCATTGGCAAGTTCCCATGTTTTATTGCTTTATATAAACCCTCCACACAAACTACTGTTATTTTAAGCTGGCACTGCTATTGTTATGACAGGAGAATCCCCTAAAGGGATTTTTACTGCCTCACGAACCACTCTTGTCAGTGCTTGCACCACTAAAAAAAAACACTCCCCAGTGTTGTGGTGTTTTCAGATGGGGCCGTACGAGTCGTGAATAACTGAAGCACAATAAGAAAAAGCTTTGCAGATAAGGGGCACAGTGCAGCACACGGCGATGATAGATATGTTTGAATGGATGAATAATGGATTCATATTTTATTTCATAAGAAGGGACAGATGGAGAGAGCGAGATAGTGAGTGAGATGGAGATGATAATGATGGGGAAGTGAAGGGGAGCGAGTGGCAGGGGGGGATAGAACGAGAGAGGGAGGCTGAGGCTGAATGGAGAGAGAGAGAGAGGACTGGGAGCATGGCAGGGAAATGAATAAAATGCACAAGAGAGAATAAGCATCTATGAGGACAGACGCAGTCAGATATAAATGCGTTACGGACTAAAGCATCCATGACACGCAGGGCTTAGAAAGCAGAACATCACATTTCTACTAGGTGCAGATGCCCTTAATTGCCTTTATAAAATGGAGTCTTTTTATTTGCGAAAAAAAAAAAAAGTGAAGCGCTGCTGGAGCTCCATTTACTTGTGGAAGTTTGTCTGAGAGGGTTTTAATATTTTTCCAACGCCAAATCAAAGCCTCGCTCAGTTAATGACTAATTGCTCAACACTCGGCTGTGGAGAATTTCAGATGCGCATCTACTCAGGCTGCAAAACAAAACCAGCGCACGAACTGATCGGCTTCCATGACGAACTCTGAGCAAGCAGCTTTCATTCCTATCATTCCTGCTTCCTCCTGCTCATTCTCTACTGCTGCTGCTGTTAACACGGAGGTCTACAATACCCTTTCACTTATTATATTTTTACTTCAGTTTGGTGCTCAGGGATTGTTGCTGTACTCACTGACTGCGAGATCACCTTGGACTTTCTCAAACGGCCTATAAAGGTCTGCAGTTGGCACCGCTGCTAATGCAAACTGCCCAAGTCAAAAGGACATCAATAATATAATAATAATATATACATTCTGTGCCAGATGGGGCTCACGCTGATGTGCCACAACATTAAAACCACTGTGGTGGCCTTCATGTGGATGTTACTTTAACATGTACCACGTAATTTAGCATCTTGCAAATTAACCATAACCAAGAAACCTCAAAAAGGAGCTCAGGAATACAACAAACAGCCCAAGACGCTAACGTGACCAGATCCCAACTCAATTGATGATTGTGCTGGAACACACCAGACCCTTGGAGACCCCAACATGCCACCCACAGGACCCAAAGGATCTGTTGCTAAATTCCTGGTTTGATGTCAAAGGCCCAGTCAAGTACCTACACAATAACAGGCATTAGACTTTTTAATGTTTATTCATCACTATGCTCATTGTTCGGATGAGGCTGGATTCCTGTTGCAGC